CCTAAACAGCGGGTTCAAAATCGGAAATGTTATGTCATATTTAAATTAATACAGGGAGTAGCAGTTGAATAATCGCTTGAACTAGCAAAATGCACAATAAACAATTCGAATTACATTTGGAACTAAGTTTTATCAAATACTAATATACTGCTGGCTGCGAATATGGCCCCAAGGCAATTAGGAGCAAAGAGACGTTGCTATACGGCTTGAAATCTGATTTTTGAAGTTGTCATACATTGGTCATATGATGCTGTGTTGTCCTTGTTATATTTTTTATAATAAGACATATTTAGAAATACGTCTTTTGGGCGATAAATGTTTTGCTTCAATTAGGCGGTTGATTTTTCTGACTAGCATTCGATGAGGTTTCAGAATGCATTGTTATGTTAACATATAGCAACGTGACATGAATGTTACATGCAGACTTTGTCGCTATACGATACACTGTGATTAATATCATATGGTTTGAATAGTTAGAATTTCCGTCGTTGATGGTCATGAAGTGGCAATACAAAGAAGAGAATTCTTTCGAAAAGAGGCGGTCCGAGGGCGAGAAAATACGAAGAAAGTATCCAGACCGAATACCAGTAAGTAAAGTTTGCTTATTATGAAGTCCAATTGTTAGAATATTGCTGTACCGGATGTTTGTGTGGTGTTCGAACGATGATTTCTTTTTTTCTCTAAATTGGGCACTAATTAATGTCCGTCGTTACTTTACAACACTTTTCGAAACGGATTGTGACTTTGTATTTCTGCAGGTGCGTTGATTTTATAACTGTTGTTTAGTTTTTCCTGATAGATCACCGCATCATTGTTTACGTTGCTGTGATGTAAATAACGCCTCCGGCTAGTGCAGTTGTGAGGATGGATTCAGTGGAGAAGCAGCATTTGTTTAACGCCTACGCATATACTTTCTGTACAGTTTTCTTTGTGATTCGAAATTCGCTGCCAAACAGCCGTTGCTGTACGACTATGGGTTTTTCAGCGTCGGCAAAGACTGATTAAGTGCCGATCAAATGTTCATTGGATTTTGTGTATTTTTAGTCACTAAATATTATGTAGCGTTTATATTTCAAGTGCTTATTTACTTTGCTTAATATCCATCTCAATGTAAAGTAGTAGAAAAGTTGCCATTCGCGACAGAATGGTCGTTTCGATGATTCATATGCAGGTCTGATGAAAAACCGTTTGTTAGCGTTCTTAGAGCAGTCGTTTGGATGACGGGCTTATTTTATGACTGTCAAATGACCAAAAAAGAGGATACAGAGAGAATGCCCTAAAATCCCCTACCGTAGCTATAATCTAGTTTTTCCTTCGTCGTTACTCGTTTCACTGCATTTCATAATTTAGTCTTGCTGAACTCAGGTGATGATGACTACATCAGCTAAACAACTTCGGTAAATGACTGCAAAATGGTTGTAAACGTAATATTTGATATACAGTGTATACTTGATGTAATATATAGCAGTTTATTAAAACTTTACTGAGGATTAAAGAACTGTTTATAAATCCAACTGTTGCCTTGAAAAACAGAGCAGTTTTTCTGAAAACGTTGGCATACGTTTTAGCAGAATTTAAATGCACACAAGTCTTGTTGAAAAAATGAATTTATTCGATAAAGTAAGGTTATGATGAATGACTATGCAGCGATGCGGAACGTTTGCTTTCAAGTCAGAGATAATTTTTAACCACTTAGTAAATAGGTTTTCGGCGCTGCTGTTGAGTTTCTTAATAACTTCTTTCACCTGTGTGCCCTGGTAAT